TTGCCATTCCTTTCTCTTCATACCAGCCATAAGGATATTTCCGAAATGCAAATCTGATTATGTTCCTGTCCATCTTTCAGTGGCTTCCCTCTAATCCAGGGATAAAATCCAACAGTTCCTTATTAAGACATACAAAACTATTCTTGAGTTTCTTTCTGGAGTTGTTATCTTTCTTTGCTCCCTCTCCCATTCTCTCATGCCTCTCTGTTCCTTCTGCCTGGGATATGTCCCCTTACTAAGTGGACCATGTCTTGTTTGCATGATTGATGCCCCACTGAGACCAGGTTCCTGAAGTTCTCCAGCATAACGTCTCTGCACAGCTTCCTCTGGGCAGAGTCCAGCCAGCCCCAGCTCTTCCTCTGTGAAGACCACAGCCACTTGTGTGTTTTTTTTTTTATTAATACTCATCTGATACTTTTTTCATTGATTTTCAGAGAGAGTGNTTCCTCTGTGAAGACCACAGCCACTTGTGTTTTTTTTTTTTTTATTAATACTCATCTGATACTTTTTTCATTGATTTTCAGAGAGAGTGGAAGTGGGGCAGACAGAGAGAAACATCGATGTGACACAGACACATTGATTGGTTGCCTCCGCATGCACCCCGACTAGGGCAGGGGATGATCGAACCTGCAACCCAGGTATGTGCCCTTGACCAGGAATCAAACCCATGACCCTTCAGTCCACAGGCCAACACTCTAACCACTGAGCAACACCGGCCAGGGCCACAGCCATGTTTTTGAATATCACTGCTTTCTTAAATGTGGTAATCTTTTTCTTCTTACTACTGCAGATGTACAGATTCCTGAGAATGGAGAGTCTTGGTAGGCAGAACTGTGCCTGGTAGTGTCACAGTGAGGGGAATGCAGGCAGTAACCTCCATCTTTAACTTATTGCAGTCTACTTTCAAGTGATACTATTACCACCTCATGTATAGTACATGAGCCTTATGACAGTACACTCCCATTTCTCCTCTCCTGGCTTATGTGCTATTATTGTCATACATTTTACTTTTACATATGTTCTAAACCCCACACTATATTATTATTTTTGTTAAAAAAAAAAGATTTAAATAATTTTAAAATTTTATATGTTTACCCAAGTATTTCTCCTTCCTGGTGCTCTTCATACCCGTGTAGAGCTATATTTTCATATGGTATCATTTTCCTTCTGTCTCAAGGGCTTCCTTTAAAACATTTTGTAGTGTGGGTCTGCTGGTGATGAATTCTTTCAGCTTTTCCTTGTTGAAAAGATCTTTATGTTGTCTTTATTTTGCTTTTATTTTTAGAAGATTTCACTAGGTTTAGAATTCTAGGTTGACTTTTTTTCTTTCAGTACTTAAAAAAATAGTGTTCCACTGTCTCACTAGCATTGTTTCCTGTGAGAAATCTGTTATTCTGTGTTGTTTTGTGTGTAATGTGTATTTTTTTCCTTTGGTTACTTTTAAGGTATTTGTTCCCCAAATTTTTATTTATTGACTTTAGACCCGGGTTGGGGGAGGAGAGACACATTTGTTATTCCTCTTATTGATGCATTCATTGGTTGATTCTTGTATGTGCCCTGAATGGGGCTTGAACCTGCAACCTTGGTGTATCAGGATGATGCTCTAACCAACTGAGCTACCCGGCCAGGGCCTTAAGATTTTATTACTGGTTTTGAGCAGTTTTATTATGATGTGTTTTGGTGTAGTTTTCTTCATGTTTCTTATGCTCAAGGTTCATTGAGCTTCTTGGTTCTGTGGGTTTATACTTTTTCTCAAATTGGAAAAATAGCCATTATTTGTATTAGTATTACTATTATTATCATTATTGTTATTATTTTAATTCTCACCCGAGGACATGCTTAACGAGAGGTAGGGAGGGAGGGAAGGGGAGAAACAGAAACATTGATGTGAGAAAGAAATATCCAATGGCTGCCCTCTGCACATACCCCAACCGGGGATCTAACCTCTAACCCAGGCACTACCGAGACTGGGAATTGAACTGCAACCCCGTGGTGCACAGGATGACACTCAACCCACTGAGCCACTATGGCCGGGCAGCCATTATTTTTTGAAATATTTTTTCATCTACCTCTTTCCTTTGAGGACTCCAATTATACTTATGTAGGCTTCTTGGAGTTATTGCACAGTTCATTGGACCCTCTGTTTATTTTAAAAATTCTTTTTTCTGTGTTTTATTTTGGTGGTTTCTATTGCTGTGTCTTTGAGTTTGTAAATGTAAACATTAGTCTTTGCTAACTTTCCATCTGTATTAGTTCTGGGTGACTTGTGATTGATGGATTTTTCTTTGCATTCTGGATAGTATTCACCCGCCTCTTTGCATGGTAACTTTTGATTGGCTGTTGATGTAAATTATACCTTGTTGGGTACTGGATATTTATGTATTTCTATATGTATTCTAAGCTTTGTTTGGGAATAATTTCCTCAATAACAGTTTGTCTTTATTTTTAAGATTCGTTGGGTGGGCCCAGTGCAGTGTTTGTCTAGTGTAAGGCTAGCTATTCCCTACTATTGAGGCAAGACCCTTCTGAAGACTCGACTCCAAACCCATGAATTATGAGATTTTCTGGTATGGCTAAGGAGCAGGCCCTATAGCTAACTGGCCCCATCTGAGTACCCTGAGCCAAGGGTACCCTGAACATCTAAGGTTTCTTTATGAATGTGATGAGCAAGGAGGATCTAAATGATTATCCCCTCAGCTTCACTCACTCCCTGCCTGCCAGAAGCCCTGCTATGACCAGGCTGTGGAGGGTTCTTCAGAATTCTCAATGTTGCACTTGTGTGTAAGTGTCTTCTGGAGTGTATTCCTGTTTGCTATGTAGTTCATGCTGAGAGTGATAAAGAAGCAGCACTCTTTTCCTTCCCCCAAAGCCCTTGTGCTTTTTGCTAGATGAATTCAGATGTAAAACCTTGGGTCTTTGAAAGAACTGTAGACACCGTCATTCAGTTAGTAAGAGGATATGGTATTACTGGACCTTCCCGCCCATGCCCAGTCTCTCTGTATACAAGTAATGAGTGTACGGTTATGACTTCTTAGCATCTTTTGAGATGCCTTGGGCTAATGGCCCTATACTGAATGCCCCAGGTCAGACAAGCAAACTTGCACTCCTCAGAAACTCTTCAAAGAGAAGTCAAGTCTGTCTTTGCCTAGAAGAAAGGAACGTCCTGCCTAGTTGTATTAAACTGATGTGTTCCCTGAAAATGGTTTATGTACAGTCACTAACATGTCTCACAGAAGGAGTTTCTGGTCCTGGGTGAATGTCTTTTCCACTGCTCTCTCTGCTTTTTAAGGTATGTCTTCTGTATTTTTCCTTCAAGTAGCTGTTCAGAGTGTCTAATGAAGCAAATGAAGCAACTGTCTCGAGACCAATGTTTATTTCAACATGGTTGGAGTTGTTTTTGCTTCAGCTTTCAGAGCCAATAAAGCTGGTTATTAGATTCTATAATTGCTGCTGTAATTACTCTCTTGAAACCAGCAGAGGCATAATTAAATATGGAGATGCCAAAGACTATTTTTTTCCACCTAAAAGCAGCCTTTTAAACTTCTATTGATCTGGGTTAGATTTCAGTAAAGCCATTGTGTTTATGAATGACACTGAGGTTCTTTGGCAGAAAAGGGAACTCTTTGTATGCTCTTTTTTTGAACATTTGGTTTAGATGAACGCCTTGTTAACTCAGTACTTGGGTTATTTTTCCCCATCTCCACCTGTTTTATTGAGATATAATTGACATAATATTGTATGTCTTAGCTGTATAACATATTGATTTGATATACATATATAGTACTACAACATGATTTCTACAATAAGTTTAGTTAACACCCATCACCTCACATAGTTATTAATTTTTTCCTTGTGATGAAAATCTAGTACTTTTTTAAATTAGCCATCAGGAATTTGGAGAAGTACAAGGCAAGACACTAAGAGCCAGCACATATTTATGTAAAACATTGGGCCTTAAAACAAAATGACCTCTATAGCCTTAACATGCCAGAACCAAGATAGGTGATGACATTGACATGACCAAATGGTCACACTCTAGATTTGTCCCTGGCAGGGAGTTCTGTCTTTATTCTGTTGTGTTTTCTATGATAGAGAATGCTATAGTAACCATCTTCAGTCATGGGACTTTCTACTTTTGTTGAATACATTTACAGAAGGAAATTACTGGGTCAGAGAGCAGAAACGTCATTATGCCTGGTGCTGTATGTTGCCATGTTACTTTTCAAAAGCATTATAACAATTTACAGTTGTCAGCTATGTACAGTGAAATAGCGTTTTTACCCCAAGTGATCCATTACTGGGTATAGTCATCATTTATTATTTTTATAATTTAGTTTACATAAAGTGTTACCTTAAAATTGCTTTATCATAATTAGAGCTGCTGTTTTTTGGGTGTCTACTGTTTAATGTTATGGTAGGTGTTTACATATATTCTCTCATTTACTTCTCACAGTGAACCTATTGGGGAAGCTAAGCTGCTCACCAAAGTCTATGAGCTGGGTTTTGAACCTAACATAGTTTGACCTCAAAGCACATTCTTTCTCTGAATTCCTCTTTATGCTTTGATTTTTGTGTGTGTATGTGTGTCTACCAGAGAATGTGAGCTTTTGCTTATGTGCTTATTTGCTTGTGAATTTTCTATAGTTTTCTCAGAAAACTGAATGTGTTCTTTGTGTTATAGTGAAGCAACAACTGAGGTACATCCATTAAAATTAGAGAAGAGTCCTGACCAGTGTGGCTCAGTTGGTTGAGTGTGGTTCCTGTACCAAGAGGTTGCTGGTTTGATTCCCAGTCAGAGTACATGCCCTGGTAGCTGGCTCAGTCCCCTGAAGGGGGAATGCAGGAGGCAGCTGCTGATTGATGTTTCCTTCTTATTGATGTTTCTCTCTCTTCCTCTTCTCTCTAAAATCAATAAAACATATATTTTTTTAAATTAGAGGAAAGACTCAAGTGAACCCCAGGACATTACCTCTCTGAAACCCTGTTTTCTCCCCATGCAGCGGCCCTCCAGGCACTGAAGCGCAAGAAGAGGTATGAAAAGCAACTGGCACAGATTGATGGCACGCTATCAACCATCGAATTCCAGCGAGAGGCCCTAGAGAATGCCAACACCAACACTGAGGTGCTCAAGAACATGGGCTATGCCGCCAAGGCTATGAAAGCTGCCCACGACAACATGTATGTGGCCACCCGCTGGTGGAGGGGGGGCACCCATGTGGCAGGGCAGTGCTTGCCCTGGAATGCTTGGAGCTCACGCCATGGCCTTGGGAAATCCCTTTACCCACCCAAGCATCTGAGTTTGTTTTAATTTACATTCTTTTTGGAACTCCTTCTAAAATAAATTATGTATCTTGCTGCCTTTGGAAGCACATCTCATGGAGTGAGATTCAGAGTTACTGTGATGAGCAGAGTTTCAAGCTGGAAAGGTCCTTAGGAGGTCCTCTCACCCAGGCCTCTGATTATCAAGGTGGGGAAGCCATGTTCCCAGAGACTTGCCCTGGGTTATATGAGCTTAAATAGAACTGGGATTAGAACCAATACCTGTGACTTTTTCCTGATGCTATCTGGGGCCCTGAAAAGTGGTACATCTGAGGGCTTTGGATCTCTATATTCTTATGAATGCTTCTGGTGGAAGTTTCTGCCTCCCCCTTGCCCTTGGGCTTTTGGCTGTCATATTGATAGTGTTCTTGACTTTAGCAACCCCTCCTTTATGTGGCTACTCCTCTTATATGGTGGCCTAAGAAACTAGGTAATCACACTTGTTACAATTGTAATTAAAGGCCAGGATAACAATAGATTTCAAATGAGGACCTCTCCTATGAACAAAATTCTGTATTTGTTTTAGTGTTTGGACTTGGCATCATATATATGGGGGTGCTTAGAGCCCCTTCTTGCTCCTTTTTAAGTACCCAACCATGCTGTGGAATAGGGATTGGCAAAATGCAGCTTATGGGCCTGTCACCTATTTTTGTAAATAAAGCTTTATTGAAACACAGTTGTACCCATTAATTTACATATTGTTTATAGCTGTTTTTTGTGCCACATAGTAGGGTTGAGTATTTGCCACAGAGATCAAATGACCCACAAATTCTAATTTACTATTTGGCCCTTTATAGGAAAAGTTTGCTCTTTGCTCTAGAAATGTGGGATTGCGGAAAAAGTAGCCTTCAAATAAGTGAGGTGTTGTCTGAAGGTGCATGTTCATTGGACTGAGCTTCCTAAGTGTGTGGTCCATGTCTGCTTTGTTTCTGTGTACTCCAGAAAGCCTAGTACAGAGCACATCTCAATAAATACTGTGCACACTTTGAAGTATATGTGTACATATTATGTTAATTATGTTTATGATTGAGATTGACAGGGTATAGAAAATAATTCTGCATGTTTACCTTTTCTTTGGGGTCTGATAGAGGAACCACAAGTGGATTTGAGTAGATGGGAAGGACCTGTCAGTGGCACAGCTACATTTTATGATTTGTTTCCACTGTAACACAAAGAGCTCATTCCCCCTGTACAGAGTTTCCCTTGAGCTTGAGGAAGAGCTATTGGCCCAGGAGTTTAAAGTCCTGTGGTTTCATGTGACATGTTTACTAGCTTACATGAGAGACCATGACTGTCATCCCTAAGTTTGCTAAGCCTTATTTCCTTAGAGTGTTGGATTAGGTTGGTATCTAAGGATACTTCCATCCTCTGATTCTGTGGTTCTGTATTTCAAAGGGTAAGAGGAAGATAATAAAGACAAAAACGTAATTCCTCACAGGGAGTAATTGTAGGGGGTGGATCTGGGAAGCAGATTGTGTGGAGCAGGGTTTCTGCTCCTGCCTCACAGACTCTCTGCATAAACTGATCGTTGTTATGACATCTGTCCATTTCATTTACAGGGACATTGATAAAGTTGACGAGTTAATGCAGGACATTGCTGACCAGCAAGAACTTGCAGAAGAGATTTCAACAGCTATTTCAAAACCTGTAGGGTTTGGAGAAGAGTTTGATGAAGTGAGTGTTTTCATGCAGGTCATACAAGCTTCACAAATGATACCAGCTACCCTTTGATATCCTGTTGAAGACTCTGGCAGGCAGTATGTGGTTTGGAAATCACCAGTTCTTTTTTTTTTAATATGCCTTTATTGTTTTCAGAGAGAGGAAGGGAGAGGGAGGGAGAGAGAGAGACAGAAACTTCAATGATGAGAGAGTCATTGATCGGCTGCCTCCTGCACACCCTCTACTGGGAATCGAGCCCACAACCTGGGCATGTGCCCTGACCGGGAATCAAACCAACATCTCCTGGATCATAGGTCGATGCTCAACTGCTGAGCTATGCCAGCTGGGCATGGAAATCACCAGTTCTCATCCCTCCAGAGATTGGTACAAACAGGGCATGGTATTAACCCTCCCTAACTCTCTAATTTGAGGGATGCTTTTACTGTTTGCGGTAGAAGGTTAGGGTGAAATAAAGGAACCTTTGCTGGAACCCCAGAGCAGGCTTTAGGTCAATAATCGGTTTCAACAAGTAGTTACCCTGCACATCTGACTCTTGAGGGAATCCATCTGGAACTTGGCCACCTACCAATTTCTACTGTAGCAAGTAGGGCTTTGAGTCTCTCAGGTTTTTAAAATACAGTAACAGACCCTGTTGAAGGCACTCCATTCTGCCTTAGATTTGAATCCACTGAGGTCAGGCCCTCTCCACTGAACCTGATTCTTTGTGCTGTCTGATTCCCACGGTGTAGCTGATAAAGCAGCCTGTGGTTCCTACCCTTGGCTGCCAGAATGGATTTTCATGTTTTCCGACTGGAGTTTGATGGACTAGTCAAGTTAATTTCAATTCAGCAAATATTCCTGCACATTCACTTGGTCTGTCCAGTCTGAGATAAAGAAGTAGGATGAGAAGATATAATCTGGTTTCTCAAGATGCGCATAGCCCAGTACAGGACACAGGCATCAGTATTGTTCGATTGTATGCTATATTTACAAGTAGAAGCGAGTTTGGGATATTTGTGTCACAGTGTGTGGACCTGGAGTTCACCTCCCCTCTGATCTTCTCAGAAGGGGTATGTGTCTTGTCAGCCATCAGGCAAGAGGTGGGGGCTGGGATTCCCAGGGGTATCTCTCTCATTCTTGTGTTTCTTTTTACCAGGATGAGCTCATGGCAGAATTAGAAGAGCTAGAACAGGAGGAACTAGACAAGAATTTGCTGGAAATCAGTGGACCTGAAACAGTCCCTCTACCGAATGTTCCCTCTATAGCTCTACCATCAAAACCCAGTGAGTATTTCTTATCCAGAGTCCTGACACACCCATGATGCCACGTGGTGGGTGCTCTCATGGTCAGTTGGCCTCACTTTGGGTCTGGAGTTGCCCAGGGTTGAGAACCAGGTGGAATCTGTTGTGATGGCCCCAGAGACAGTGTCACCTGCCTTTTCCTAGGTTCTCTCTAGATCAGGGTTTCTTAACCGCGGCACTGTTAACATAGATCGTCCTTTGGGCTGGGCCTGGGTAGGAGGCCTGTCTTGCGCACTGTGAATATTGAACAGTACCCCTGGCCTCTTTATCCACTAGATGCCAGCAGTACCCCCTTCCTAAGTTGTGACAGCCAAAAATATCTCCAGACATTGCCAGATGTCCCTTTGGGGATGTGGGGGGTAGGGGGTCACCCCTAGTTGAGAATCCGTACTCCGGAATGATTTTCCCTCTGTCATCAACCAAGGCACTGGGAGAAGGTGTGAGAGTTTAATTCTAGGATAGCTCTTGTTCCCTGTCTAGAATCCTGTGCTGTGCACACCTGTAAAAGCCTGGGGCGCGGAGGCAGTCACCGTGGGAAGGAAACAGCTTGGCTTTTTAAAAGACCTGGTTCTATAAAACCTTCATTTCCTTCTGCCTGCTCCTCCTCCTCCCTTCCCCCATTATTTTACGCTTGGGTGGAAGCATTCCACACAAAACTGGAAAAGGGGAAGCAGTTTGATCTGATAGAGAGCACCAGAGGAGCGGGTACTCACCTCACCCTCCCAGTTTCAAGGAGAGAGGGCCCCTCCAGTTGAGTCAGCTGCTCAGGTGGCCGGGATAGGGGCAAAGGAAGTCCGAATGTCCAGCAAGTTGCTTGCGGCTATGGAGAGGCGGGTCAAGTCCCTTGCGGGGGAAGGAGGGTAGCGAGGATTTGATTTCTTCTGGTATTTTTCCTTCTCTCCCCCACCTTGGATGCCCTGGGACTGAGGCCTCGCCCGAATCCTGAGTCTCAGTGTAGAATCCTTGTTTTGTCTGGCCCGGTGCTGGTGGAGGGGAGGTTCTGGGGAAAGTGTGCCTGGTTATCTGGAGTTTTATGTTGCAGCTTTTAGGCACAGAGAAGCAGTCTGCTGATAGCCTGGAGCTGAGGTGGCTGCAAGGGCAGGGCCGCTTTTGCAGATGCCATGTAGGACGGCCCTGGCACCCAGCCAGAATGTGTTGAGAGGACTGCAACCGGCCCTTGTAAATTACCTTTTTCTTATCACACAGCCAAGAAGAAGGAAGAGGAAGACGAGGACATGAAGGAATTGGAGAAGTGGGCTGGGACCTTTAATTAACTGGTCCGTTTCGAGCTGGGCCCAGACAGACTCTGGTGGCCTGCAAATGGCCAGGCGTGTGCGTGTGCAGGGCAAGCAAGACGTGGTGCAGGCAGGTTCCATCGCTCTCAAATCTCCCTCCAGAGCAGCAGGGCTGCATCACTGCTCACTCTGCATAGCATGGTCTGCACCCAGCGGGATGGGCGGGTGGTAGG